TTTAAACTATATTTATTAAGACTTTTTCCATACCGTCCAAGCCAAATCAAAAGGTGGAAAGAAAGCGAAAGAGAGAGAAACCCGAAAGGGCGAGAAGAGGAGAAGAGAGAAATTAAGGAAGGTAAAATGAATTAAGCTTTAAGAAATGCTTACATTAAAACTAAAATTAAGAAATGTATAAAGGACCCCCGACGTTCTTTTTTTTTTTTTCAACAGGGAGTTTCAATCTTACGGTCGCCCCTCCCTCGTAGGAACGACCCAGGCCCCTTCCGCCCCACGTTCATCCAAGTCTATTTTAATCCTCACATCCATAAACCATCGTTTCATTGCTGTCTTCGTTCAGCACAACGTCCATGGAAGGTTTCTAGCCTTTAATAAGAGTTTTGCTTGTTTTTTCTCGGGCCAAATAGGGTCACCGGGGATTCCCCCACCGTGGGGATTTCCTTGTTCTTCCAACTGGTTTGGGGAATTGTCCTCCAGGGTTAGTTTCCTCTAGCAATGAAAAGGCAGGACTTAACTCAAGGGTGTGTGTGTGAATGGCTTGGAGGAAAGGAGGGGATGTAAAAATCCAGGGGTCTGCTTTATGCCAGCCTAAGCCATAATTGGCTTAGTTTGGAACAGCCCTGGTGTGGATGAACATGGAGGGGAATCTTGCCTTGCTGGCTGCTAAACCATGGTTTAGGACATTCATTCATTCATTCATTCATTCATTCATTCATTCATTCATTCATTCATTTTTTCAATCGCCCATCTCCCTCCAATGGGGGAACTCTGAGCGATTCACAATAAACATTAGAACATGAAATATATAAACACATAAAACCATAAATTAAAACATAACTAAAAAGAAGAAGCAGAGACCAAGGGGATGAAAAACTGAGGCTGAAGGCTGTGGCCTCTATGGGGCTAGCCCATTTCAGCAGGGTTTTGAACTCAGCGTGCTGGGATTTCTTCAACCCCCCATACAGAAGCCGACTGGGTGAAGCGTCTTATTTTAACCTTGGCTTAGAACCACCAACCGGAAGGTTGCAAAATTCTTCTGGAGGTCCACCCGTCTTCAAGTTGCCCAGGTTGAGCAACACCGCATGGAGCCATCAAGCAGGGTTTGCTCACACCAGCGTTGGGTTTACCCATCGCCCTAAACCCAATCATGAGAGCTGAATGCGAAGGGCAAACAAACCATTTGAGTCAACATTGCACGCAACTCTTCCTCTCTTTTTTTTAGCCCATTTCAAAATAGAGGCTACTTTGGATCAAGGGAGGCCCTGACCTAACCTCTCCGTTTTGGCTTTGACCGTCTTCCCACCCAACTCTGAGCTTGGGCTAAAGCATTGTTGACCGAAGCGACTCCACGGGCTTCTCGCTGTGTCTTTTTTAGCCCCGGTGCCCGCTGAGCCCTTCCCCAGAGTTCGGGAAGGCTTATCCCGATGGCTCAGTGCGCCAGGCGAAATAAATCAGTGTGTTGGCTCCTGTGCCCACATCTCCAAGGCTGGGCCTCTGATTGGGCACGCCCCTCCGCAGCTCGGGCACCCATTGGTCTTCCCAGGGCGAGCGCCTGCAACCTCTCACGCGCATTGGCTGGGGCGGGCTCCAGCTTGCTGGATGTCCCAAGCTGCAGATGCTGGGCTGATGTGGGGCCAGACAGAGCTCAGCCAATGGTGCTCCATCGGGTTGTGGCGCGCCGAAGCCATAGATTCATCCGCTCTTCCTCCGAATGAACCAGCTGTTTGTTTGAGCTGGGCCAGCTCAGAAATTTGCACAAACCCCGTCAAGCCCATTTTCACACTCGCCTTCCACCTCCCGATTAGACAAAGGAAAAAAAAAACACTGATTTTTTTTTCTCCAAAGCGAATACATCAGCAAGGTTCTTCCACTGTGATTTCCCCAGAGTTTGGAGGCTGGGCAGAAATGTTAATTTAGAATGGGTGGCTCCGGCTTTTGATGCAGTCCTTGGAAGGGAGTTTTCCAGCTCCGAAGCCTTTGAGAAAAAGGGGATAAGAGAAATAACGAAAAAAACCCCAGCCAACGGATTTGCATGTTCAGGGAAGGGAAAAAAGAGGAAAATCACTAAGTTGGGTGCCAATTCTCAGCGTTAAATCCTCGCTCCTCATAACGTATGCTGTGTTTGCTGCCTGACTTTGAAATCAGGATCCTGTTAATAAGCCGGTGCAAAGTGGGAATATTACTTTATGGATTCGCCATTAGGCCATATCAGAATATAAAACGGAAAATACAAAACAATCAATGGCTATGCGTTGCAAAATAGAGTAAAAGGCAAAATTAAAATGCAAATCATAATTTATATTTGCAGTTTAGTTGCCCTGCAAAAGAACTTCTTGTCTGAGACGTATATCCCACGACTGTGTTTTGTCATGAATATTTGGGTTGGGACAATCTGCAAAGTTGGGATGGGAGACCACTAGGAAACCTCAGGGCAGGAGAGGCTGGATTGCAAAGTGATGCACCCTCCCAGAAAAAGGCGCAGCCCTGCCCTTTCCACTTGTTGCTGAGACTATTGCAGGAGTGTGTCTGTGAACACCTGGAAACAGGTTGGAGCTCAATGGGCAAAGTAATTTGGTGTTGGGGAAGCTTCCTGGGTGATTATTTTTTGACCCAGCCTACCTTGAAGGGTTGTTGTGAGAAAACATTGCCTTGAGTTAGAGAAGCGTTGGAAGGGAGATCTACATATTCATAAAATTAATACGCGTGGATCCCTACCTGTCAATCTACCTGACCCTTCGCC